AGTTTGGGAAGCCTATGCAGTTGTTCACCTGCGGACTGATGCTCGACTGGTGCTGTCAGCTCACTGCCATTCATTCCTCCCCCACCGTATGGGTTTCAAGCTGGCAGTCCCTGTGCACAAGCCACAGTGAGCCTTGGGCAAGCAATGGCAGAGGAAAAGGGATAGCAATAAACCAAAAACACCACTCGAGCAACCAACACATTAAATCAGCTTTAATGAATGCACTCAGAGAAGAACACAATTAATTCCTACATCTTGAATCTGAATAACAGGTCAATTCATTAGACAAGGCATAAACAAGTAAGTAGCTCAAATAGGCTATGTTTATTAGTGGGAAGAAATCTGCAGCATTATTTCTGCAGCAGAGCAGTTCAGACAGAATTGCTGAAATCCATTCTGCAGACCTCCTAAGCAGCTCTGATATCTGTGATTTTTATATTTGTTAACATTTTGGCACCTTCTTCCACACAAGATTAACCCTAACATTATTCATCCTCTGATGAATCTTTATAGTATTGAACGGTTGTTTCTTCATCAATTGCTTAAAAATAAGGATGAGCTATTATATTTAAGTAAATATCTTAATTATATCCAGGAATCACCTGTTGAACTTGTCATGGCTCTGCAGTGCTTTTCATCTTGTAGACCAAATCCTTGCAGCTGGACCTGACTTTTATCCCACCTTTCTCTGGGCAAATCTCTAACTGACATCACACACTGTCCCTCTCAATTCCTTGTACATACTGGATACATAAATCTCAAAGCTGAAGAAGCACTTCTTTTCATGTTACAGCAAACTAAAAGCTGGCTCCCTTCCCGCTAGATATACAGCTATGCCACAAAGGTCCATGCTTTTGTGTCCCATGGGCTTGATGCTTGCAACACCCTGCATCTGGAAATAAACCCACGGTCACTGGATGGTGCACTGTGCAGCACACTTTGATTTCAGCTGTTGGCAGCAGTATGAGAATATTAGCCTAATGCTCTGATTTCTTATGCTGTTTAAAATTAAGGTCCAAGTCTAGATTTCCAAGGCCTACATGGTTTGGCTTGAGATGTTTGTTGGAGGGGCTGAAGGTGACAACCTGCTGGTGCGTGGTCTGCAGGCAGGTCTTATTCTTTCATGCAAGAGTATTCCCATACAACAGCTCCTGCCTCCCACTCACATGGGAGAGCCAAACTAACTGAGCTGTCTGACAGTAACTTGGCTGGTTGTGAGATGGAGTTGCTGTCTTGGGATTTGCCACGTGTATGACCTGGCTGTGACTGCAGGTCCCTGTGCGCCGGGACAGGACCAAAACGTGAATGCATCCAAATCTCCCCCCTGTGTTCCTTCCTGTGCAGCTTCTGTGAAATGCACCCCTCCTCTTAGACACCTTTCTGCCGTTCTTTTAGGAGAGTTCAATTTTTCTGGCTACATAATAGCAGGCTAACCGTGCATTACGCTTCAAAACCAACTGGCATCCTATAAATGTATTTTATAAACAAATAAATAAATAAATTGAACACGTCTTTGTTGCTACTTTTGAAGAGCTCTGGGACCACATTAGCCTGGGTGAAGCATGAAAGAGAAAAAAATGAAGGTGAAAAGCAAGCCTATGTATGTAGGTGGCTAAATGGAATTAAACATGTGATTATGTGACAGGGGGGTATGGCTATGAATCACAAACCTTGCTGCCATTTTTAAAATGAGTGCTGCAGTGAAATAGACCACGCTATCATTTTAAATGACATAAATGGGGCTTAACCTTGTTTCTTTCTATCAATCTTGATTGATCATAACTTTTTAAAGAAGTATTTAATTGTTAGGAATGCATTTTGCTCTGGTTTTCAGAGCGCACTGCTGATGAGTCACCTAATTGAGCAGGGATTTGTGTCATTATATGAGGAGAAAAACAGATTAAAATTACCACCCAAATGCCAATGTGTATTCTGATTTTGATTACAGTAAATAGACTTTGGAATATTTTATTAATAAAAAAATTAAATAGGTTGAAGATTGGTTTAGGCTGGAAGATTAGGGACATTAGTTTAAAAATAAACAAACAAAAAGCCAGAAAAAATATTGTTGCACCTACTGATCCACTGAAAATTTCAATGTCTTCTGGTATTTCTGATATGAGAAAGAAGAAAATTCTGTTCTTTTCTCAGCCACTAAAGAATCTTGTATTTCCATCACACCTGATAAGAAGAAGATGCTTGGAGAGCAAGTGATGTTTCCAGCAGAAGTTCCAGACACTAAAGCAGTGGGTTGTTTAAGAAATGTGGACTGTAGCCCTAAGGTGAGGATGGAGACCGTGCAATCGCTTGCATTATGGGACTGGGTGTTCACACACCATGGAACTAGTGCTAAAGGCAGCGGCAAACAACAGCCCACTATCCTTTCAGTAAATCCCTGCCTGATAATGACGTCAGAACCATTAAAGATAATGAGCTGCTCGTATCTCACAAAGCTCTTTGGGTAGACATAAAACCCCTTATGCAGCATTTCCCAGTGAGCAGGAGGGGCAACCAGCCTCTGGCACAGGGGCTCAGCCTTGCCTGCCACCTCCTCTCCAGGGTTCGGCCTTACAGCTACACCATTAGCTGGTGGGAAGACCACTGGTACCACCAAGGTTTATGATTTCCTCCTGTGAAACTGTCACTGCAGAAAGCTCAGTCTGGCATTACTTAAGGACTTTCTGTCCTTATCCCCTCCCTAGCAGTGTTCAAGGCCAGGTTGGACGGGGCTTTGAGCAACCCAGTCTAGTGGAAGTTGTCCCAGCCCATGGCAGGGGGTGGAACTAGGTGATATATAAGGTCCCTTCCAACCCAAACCATTCTACGATTCTATGCTGAGCACGGTGCCCTGGCATTGCCCAGCACACTGCTTGTCTGACGCAGATGGAAAACATCCAGAGGTTTAAGACAGACTGTCTATATGGCTCAACTTTCTAACCCGACCTTGCTGGGGTGACTCCTGGAACTCCAGCTGCAACTCCTTAGGATAAAAATCTGTTTAAAAACCTCAAGTCTTAGCCCACAATTAATTACCCTTGCTTCCCACTCCCCAAGCCAGTACTAGTTGCTTATGTACTTTTTGGAGGCTGCTTTAGACCCCGCTGGCATGGGCCGAGTCCCCCCTGCCTCAGGGAGCATCTGCACTGCGAAAGGCCAGAGGAAACAAAAACAAATGGGGGACAGGGCTGGTGCGGGGACCTGTGGCTGCTTCTCAAGAATTTATTTTCCTTCTGATAAGGGTCCCATTCCTGCCCCTCCTCCCACCATCCTTTCCCCCATAGGAATAAGTCTCCCAGAGAGTTTCCACTTGCCAGGCTTCAGGCAGACATGGATCTGGTCTAATACAGCTTGGGCTGCTGTGGACCACTTATCTATTAATATCTCTTCAGTTGCTCCAGAACTTATGTCCCCTCGTACTTCTCAGTAAGTTATATTTATATGGTACTTCTATGACGCAGCAAGTTTGTGCAAAGCCGCAGCTGCATAAACAGTCTGTTGGGATCAGCTGATTGATTTCAACCGAACTCCTCAGTCCGATTTCAGATCAGACCGTACTTGTTTACACAGACTATTGCTCTTGTGCCACAAAGCAAAACTTACCTTAGAGTGGTTTACATTTTAACAAACTAATAAGAACGTTGAGGCACTCCTGGGCAAAACTACGCCCACAGCTTGATTTATATCTACATAGATACTGAACCACCTGCAAGAAACAATCAGAAAAGGCTTGAGCGGAAAGCCATACTGAAAAATGCACAGAGGAATCGGGGGGGTATGCAGGTCGGGGTTGTATCGGTATGAAAGCATTTGCACAAAAACACTCACATGCAAACATAGGTGGTCAGTCGTGCACAGGCTTTGTACAGCTCTTGTAGGTCTCACCTTTTGCATCAGCTGCGCTTAACGTGTGAATATCAGGATCTGACTTTATATTCATTTTAAACTGTTGCTTGTTTTAGAAAGAGCCTAGGTGGATCAGTTAATTAAAAATAATAATAGGTTGCCAGCTGCTAATTAGGATATTAATTAGTCACGCAGTAAAGTGTCACTTCTGCATGTGAAAGAGCTGACTTCAAGTTGTCTTGGAGTAGACTGGCTTTCTGCCAGCAGCAGTAAATATATCCACAGAAAAAAATAAACTCTGATTATCGATGAGTACTTTTCCTTTGAATAACAGGAGGTCTGTACCCTCAATGAAATAATGAACTGCAGCCTCTTCATAAAAGAGATCTATCCTCCTTCTTTTGGCAGCAGAGATCTTCTGTGAGCTTCTAATTATCAATACTAGAAAGGAAATGCAGGAGAATAAAATTCTTTAGTGTAAGGAAAGCTGGTCGTTTGTTGATGTAAGGTGTTGGTTTAATCTGCTTGGCTCTCTGGTGTAGTAAATAGTTGCATGAAACCACTGCTCTTTGGATGGGAAGTGAAACAGTACAAAGGAGGACTCTATCAGTAATTTCCCACCTGTATCATCCCAACAGCAAGCTGCATGCAACGAAAATGTCAGCATCCTTAGAGCCTCCTCCTAGCAGTCTTTGCTGACGGGGAAAGCAACCACTGTGCTTGTGAGACATTTAAAAAGCATGTCTGAAGATGTTCAAAGACAGGAACAGACTGTCTTGACATCAGTACCATTTTAGGCACCCCCAGGTTAATTCCCTAGCTAAGAACCAATATAACCTTATAAAAAACCATGCTACCGTGAAGGAAATGCCTCTTAACAGCTGTGAGATGCCAGATGCCAAGTACAGCCTGTTTGTGACAATAGGTGTGTTAATTATAATATTGGGAATGCAAATACAAAGCCCATCATGTTGAAGGCCCAGGAAAACAGACACCCTTGTGATGCCAGACCTGATATTATGTTAGATTTATGAGATCTGACTAGGATAAAAGACAGCCTCCAGAATTCAGCTAGGCATATACATTACTCACCTGGAGCAGCTCGCCATCAGAACAGAGGTGAAGCTGTGCCTCTGTCAGCACATGGGCATGCCGCGATGCCGTACACCGACACGGGCAGCCAGCGTACACACGTGTGAGCACCTCACAGGAGCCGCTGTGCTGCCACGGTGCCTGGGACCGCCTCTGGTCTGAAATGCTGCAACTGCATCATGGCAGACAGTAAACCTAGCTTAGCTACTGGGAGAGGAGGAGTGAAATCATATCTAATTAAAACTGTGGAGGACTTGGGATTTAGGCAGGCAGGATGTAATCCTTCAGTTCGGGTTTACAGATAAAAGTAATGGTTCACTCTCCGTCTTCATGGAAAGTCTCAAGGGATGGTGATGAGGACAGCATCTCTCGTACCACCTCTCAGGTGAAGGCCCATGCTGCAGAGTTACATGGTGGGTGCAGAGCCAGGTCTGGACGGGAGGGAAATATGTGACTTGCCACACCTCTGGAACTGTTTTCAAACAACACATGCTTAACTACACAAACACAGTCCTGGCTTTGGATGGTACATGCCAAGTCAGACTCTCAGTCCAGACAGACATCAAGACAGGTCTTTCATAGTTTTCCACAAATCTATTTAAAGTCATGTTTAAAAAATCTGAAAGGCCTACAGAAAATTACACTTACAGCAATGATTCCGGTCATTATTAGAAGAGTGTTCCTCTTTTAATTAAATTTAAGAACATAATCTGTGAACAAGTTTCAAAGAACCTCCATACCCTACTGACACTGCAGGTACTCAAAACCTTTGGCAGGCAGGCAACAAAATGTTAATCTTACCAGCATTTTGATACCTGGCATTGGTGTATTCCTGTGCTTTGAAGATGCAAGCGTGTGCTGTGAAAGCACCAGCCGATGCCACCTGCCCTTCTCCTCTACTCCCAGCACACTCTCTGGAGCAGTGGCAAGGGATTATTTTAGTCACTAGAATAACAGAAATTGTGGCATTTCAAGTGGAGGAGGAGCAGAAGATGCATCCTGTAATTTTAACAAAAGAGGAGAAATACTGTTGAGCAAAATAAAATGATCCCACTCAATGAATTGTACTTTACGTGGTATCTTCTGTAAGGTAATTACATGGACAAAAACATACCTGCACATTCTGTTGCAGCTGAAAGGAAATGTTTCATTTCCAAGTTGTTACCCAACGCTGGCACCAGCTTATTAGGAGACAGGCTGATCCCATGCCCTTTTCTGAGATGTTCCCTTTTTGATCCTCTAGCAAAAGAGCAAGAGAACCTGTATTAAAAATAGCAGGAGATCAAATTTCCAGCTATCGCGAGCCAGAAGCGACAGTAGTGGATCGATGAACAGAGGTAACGCCGTGACAGGTGTGGGCTTGCACTAGGCTGGCACATTCCTGCCCTCTGAGGCATGTCGCTCCCCGCAGCACCAGGCAGAGCAGCTTGCTGCAAGTTGGTGGTTTTAAGATGAGAGAACCTCTGTCCCTGCAGCCACGAAAGCTCAGGTCATCGTACCTATCGGTGGGATGGCAGCGGGTGCTTGCTGTGCTGGTCAGGCAGAATGGCAAACGCAGATGTGAGGGTGGCTGGGCAGCAATCCTGAACCCATTGTGCCAGATTTGCAAAGCAGGCACTGCCTGTACTGATGGAGTGAGCAGCATCTTTGGAAGTTGGCAGTGGAAGCTCAAAACAAGGAAATGTAAAGTAATAGCATATCAGGGGTGAGAGGACTACGAGATTACTTCGTGTAATTGGTTGTTTTTTCATTCTCAGCTGTGACTGAGTTCTGGGAAACTGTAGAACAGAGCTCAGAGAGGTTTCTTCCTTCAGCAGACCTCCTCCTTCTTACGGACAGCATTGTGTCTTCAAAAGTAGGTTTGATTTTTGGATGGTATGCCAACTTTGGATGGAGAAAACTGGTGCTAAGGATCTTCTACAATCCTTGCCAAGGTAGAGAAAGAAGTTGCATTGGCGTCACTAATTCTATCAGGCTTTCTTGGCACCTTATGCAGGCAAAGTCTTTGAAATACTTCTCTTATAGTCTATCCTGGTGTGAATTCCAGGTAAAGCTGTGACTGAAGGATCATAACTCTGTGACATTTTATATACCTGTGAGGTATCTGCCTAGAACTGAGAGAAAAAGGAAAGGGCTTGTGTAATCTGTGGTAAAACTTTGGGATTAGGCTGTGGAGGGCACAGGCAACGTCTTTCAGTTGACAGCCTTTTGTGACCACTTGAGGGTACAGTCTCTTAGTAAATATTGTTTTAACCATGTATTTCTCCAGTTCTGTCCTCAAAACAAGGGAGCTCCAACTCAAACCACTGCCCAAAGCCCATGCTGCCCAAGCAAGTTATCCCCAGGCAGAGGTGTGGGATCTGTAGTGAGACTCCAGCGGTGCCATGGGGAAAATACTTGCCATGGTTTCGTCCCTTGCTGCTCCAGACTAGTCCGTCACACTGGCAGGACTAAGGACTGTTGCTGTGCAAGACTAGTGCGGAGGTGATAAATCTTCACATGCATACTGCTGGCTGGGACCGAGACACAGACAGGCTTACTGGCAGAGTAAGCCTGGAGATAACGAAAGGAAATGTTTTAGGTGTCGGAATTGTTGTGTGCCTCGCACCAGCGTTCAGGTATGATGGTCCATTCTCAGTGTCCAGCAGAAACACAGGAAAACTGCAGATATTGCAGGAGTAACACAAGGTGTCTTTTTTCGCCTGGTGAATCAGGATCATGCAAATCTTCCAGCTTCACCCCTCACAGGCCATTTGTAGTGCCTATAACAAGGCAGGTCACACAGACATCAAATGGCACGTATGAATAACTGAATAAAGCTCGAGTCATACTGCCAGCGAGGCAGCACAGGCACGGATGTCCCGTTCCCTAGTTGCAGGGCACCAGGTTTGAGGCCATGCTGGAGCCCTGCGCGTTCACAGCCACACGATGTGCAGAACTTCATTTTCCGCCTGGACAAAACCTGAGACAACAAGAACACTGCAGACCTTTGAGCCGGGCTGAGAACTCTTCCAGCCACGGGCTCGCATGGCCTGCAGGGTTATCTGGGGCTACCCAGCTATTCTGCTTGCCAAGCAGATAGCTCGTAATGCATTTCTGAATACGCAGTGCCTGAGATGATTACCAAGTGAGTCCAGATACTTTTCTCCTGTTGCTATAAATGACTTTCTTGCTTTCCAGTTCATCTGATTTTGTTCAATTTATTCTCAGGTAAAACTGAATGAACTTTTTGAGGTAGCAGGATCAATCCCACAGAGTTAAGTATGTCAGCTCTTGCATTCATCCTATAGGTATAACCTTCTTGTGCAACGAACAGACATACCCAGCATATTTCATCCACTTGGAGCAACACAGATACAGGGCCCGACAACTCTGCTCCTGTCTTGTGTCCTTGTGTCTCCTTCACGCTGCCCAAACCATAATTTCAGTCATCCCACAAAGTTGTTCTAGGTCCTGTTTTCCTGCTAGTGTCCCTGTGGTGCCTTGTACAGAACATACAACCATGCTACTTGTGAGGCACAGGTTGTCAAGATCCATCTTTTGGCCATGGTAAGGGACCCAGGGAGAGTGTCCCATGCTTGTTTGGGGTACACTTCCTGCAGAAGGTTAGCGCAGGGTTGGGCATAAATACTGGTCACCAAATATTTGGCTTCAGCGATCAAATAAATAACATTTTTTTGGCAGAAAATTGAATATTCCACATTAGGAGTACTTCCAGATAAGTACTCCCAGATACTTTGCAGAAAATGTGTTTTGTGTCCTCATCCTCCCATTCTGCCTTAGTTTATAAACACTTAGTAAAATCATATCTCCTATCCTACCATGTGCTACCTCTCCCTTCCCTTTCCTCTGCTTCACATCAAATGATACTCTGGCCAAGCAGCAGCATTTGATTTGTCTGATGACTATGCTTTCCTCAGATACATTTTTTCTATTGAAACTACCAGCCTCATCCAGAGCTTAAATATGGTTTCAACCAACTTTAAGTGGTATGTCAACCTTTTGTTTTCCCTGTGGGCAAACAAATTTTCCCCTAAAATCACATGCTAGCTAGACAAAGATAACTTTATTCCCATATGCCTCTAACACCTTTTGTTCAGACTGATAGAAGATTATGCTGAATAAGGGATTTCTGCTTATGCAAGCTCTCCTGCCATGCAGGAACCCAAGGTAATTGCCTCATCACTCTCTTTGTAATACAGAAATCACAGTAGAAGACAAGAACAACTCTCACATATTAAAAAAACAAATTAAAAAGAAAAAGAATATGTAGCAGAACTGAAAGAGATAGACAGGATTTTCTCAGACTCACAACAGCTTCAAGAGCCCCAGACCCCAGCTGCAGTAGAGATGCAGCCAGAGCCTGTCCCCAGCAGAACAGCAAGTGCAACTTCTGGGGAAAGCAAAGGATGGAAGCTGGTGACTTCTAGCACTGAGAGGAAGGCTCTTGCTCTATCTACAGGCCTGTAACTACAACAACAGCTCACTGTCCTCATGGCTGAGGTATCCAGTTGTGCTTTCAAGTGAAGCATCTGGGCCAGCTGGCCCTGAACCACGCAAGACCACCATGAGGAAGAAGTAGGTGACAGCAGTGGGTGACCCCTGCTGTAAGGGACAGAGACACCCACCCGCCGACCTGACCTGTTGTCTACAGAAGTTTGCTGATTGCTGGGGACCCAGGTCCGGGATGTTGTGGGGAGACCATTGAGGCTTGCCTGACCCTCTGACCAACACCCTGTGATGTTCTTACCAATGACACTGCTGAGGAAACATGGAGAGTATCAAAGGTGACCACAGAGATCTAGGACTGACTGGCAGGGGCATGGGGTACCAGATGGTGTTTTCAGTCCTGTCAGAGATGGTAGAGGGTGTGAGGAGGAAGAAGGCACTGGTACTGCTCACTAACAACCGGTTGCAGAGCTGGTGTCAGCAACAGGATTTGTTTTGGATGATGGGACTCTGTTTGGAGATCCGCATTTTCTTGGGAGAGATGGAATCCACCTCACTAAGTGGGGCAAATGTATCTCTGTCAGGACGGCTGCCGTAGCAAGGAGAAAAAGTACAATTAAATCTTTGGTTAAAGGCATAAATATCTATTTAAACTAACAAAAATTATTCCTGAGAAAGAAGAGAGATATTTTTTGCAGAACAGAGGGTTGAAGGGTAAACTAAACACCATGAAAACTGAAGTCCACCAGTCTTCAGTCTGGTGGAAGCTCCCCAGACAGCGCTGGCACATACACGCTGTGGTGTGCGATGTAGGACTGATGTGCTCTGGTGTTTCAAAGGCTGGATCTGAGGACCAGAGGGAATGTCCCTGGCTCCCGTTCAGATGTGGGCACACGCAGCCCCTGGTACTGGCCTTGGTGGGACCCACAGGATGGGGGTGCTGAGGGTACCCCAGGGGCAGGCACCTTCTCCCCAGGTGTAGGACATCTCACCGCCTGAGCAACCAGTGCCAAACCGGAGCTGGTCTCTGTGTCCTTCTCCATTGCATGGGTCCTTCCAACTTGTCCCCAAAAACAGAAGCAGGTAGGTGAATGTGCTTCCCTCAGGGTACATTTGCAGAGTGGCCCCCAGGTCAAACAGCCTCAACCCTTAGCCTAAGGCATCTAGACAGTTGAGGAATAAAACCTCTGCCTGCATGACGGCTCCAAACAGCCGCTCTGCCTTTCGACGAAGGGTGCTGGCACCCAGCCCACCCAAGGACTCGCTGGCATCTCCGGCACGTCCAGCACGCTGCAGCCAGAGCACTGTGTTGGCTGGCATCCCTCCCTCAGCACAGTAGGCTTCCAGCGCACCACGGCCACTTTCTCTGCAGCTAAACTTGTTGCAGTCCTTAACAACGAAAGGAACAGCGAGCGGAAACACTGCCCTGTCTTGGGTGGTTGGTGGCGAGCAATGGTACTCGTAAATTAACATCTTTGAGAAAACACCAGCCACCATGCTCTGTGTTCTCCAGACAGCATGAGGTCCTCACCTGGAATCTTGATTCCTGCCAGGGTTTCTGCTCCTTCCTGCTCCTCTAACACGGGTACACTTACGCTTTGCATAAGAGAGGTAAAATTTAAAAAAAAAAAAAGAAAATATTAAAAAAGGAGTTTACATGACAAGTTATTGTTTGGTGAAATTCTGGTCTAGTGATAAAAGAGAAAAGATAACGTCACCACTAATATCTAGTATTTTGCATAATATTAATGACATAGCATAATCCAAGTAGTGCTATTATTACTATCAAGTGTGACTAATTAAATATGTAAAAATAGCTTTTCTCATCTCTAGAATACATTTAGTTTCCTAAAATACCTCTTTTATTTAAGATTTTTAATACTGAGTGCTGAACATGTGAGGCAGAGTTTGACAGCTAAGAGGATCGCTTGTCATTGAAGACAGAATAATTTTTGCAGAACTGCGGGTATGACAGAGAAGTGATTCTGCAGCTTGGACCCCCAGATCGTGTTTGTGCAGCACCTAGGGGACTGAGCCCTTCTGGCTTAAGCTTTGTTACTGCTGCCAAAACGCAAATATGAAGCCATTGAGCTGCATGAGCCCCTCAGGAGCAACAGACTCAGGGCCACCATGGCACAAGGGCACTGCGCAAGCAGGCAGCAACACCAACACCAACAGCGATGCTCTGGGCTTGGTGGTTAATCATTAACAGTGGGAGCCGTCTATCATATTGCGTCTCTGCTCACAGGCCAGAAAACCTCTGCTCACTTTTGCTGGCTTCGGGAGGTGTGAAATGAGAGGGTCAGCTCTAGAGGAAAGAAAGGCTCAGCTGGTGTGAATTGAAATGGGTCCACTGATTTCAACAGGACTGCACCAGTTTGTACCAGTAGACTGATTCCCTCACTG